CTTCACCGCCTCGATGCCCTCGTTCACCATCACCAGCTGCTGCAGGATCTTCACATCAACCGCTCGCAGGTAAGCCTGGCAGGGGACAGAGAGCACAAGGTTTTTGCAAGGGGGGAAACCAAGGTGACCCTGGTGGTCAAGGGACTTGAGTCCTAGCCCAGCCTGTCAGAGGCATCACTGCGGTGGCCGCAGGTCTTCTGAGCTGCCTGATGAGCAGCACAGCATGGGGGAAAGCCCTGCAGGGAACCACCTCAGGGGACCCTGTCCAAGAGCTGGGGACATTAACATTGGAGAACAGTGACTTACGGCACCCACTGGCCACCAACCCCCTTGGGGAAAAAAATCCAGGGTACTTATGTTACTGTCTTCAGAAAGGAACTGGGGGCATTGGGTGTAGATCTGAGCCCAGAGCATCCCCCAAGCCCTTGGAGGCTGGTGGCAGGGCAAGAGGATCAAGCAGGGGCACTGCTCAGGGCAAGGGTCTTGCTAGGATGTCACCATCTCCCAGGGCTGTTTCAGTCGGGTCCCTTCATGCATTTACTTCCTTCCTTCCCGGGCCTGATCCAGGCTTGGTGACAATGTGGCACAGCAGGATTTGGAGCCTGAGACCTAAGTCACTCCCATAACAGGGTAGGATGGTGTTTGGGACAGGCATTGTTCATCACACCACTCGCCTCGCCGACTCCTGCCACTTCGAGCCCAGGGGAAGCTATTTGCAAAACTTCAGTTGCTGCAGAAACATCTGTTTTCCTAACGGAAAACCCGGCGTGCCAAGACATTCCTGTCTGTGTGATACTGGCCGCTGAAAGCCACTAGATTTCCCCTGCGCAGGATGCAAATATTTTGCCAGGAAAGGCGAATAAGGCGGTGTTGGGAGGGGGAGGGAGAGAAACCCATTGCAGGACAGGTACAGGCAGCCTGAGAGCTGCAAATGCCCACAGACTCGTTCACAAACACGCCCTGTCCCCAGCATCTGCAAGCTGTGACAGAAATCCACGTGGTCCCCCGGGATCATTTCTAAGCATAGCACCCGGTCCCCAGCATCCAGTACCCTCAGGGTGACCCGACAGTCTCTCGGGACTCCCCGTCTCCGGTCCCACAGCAAGCACAGCAACAAAAGCATCTGAGGAAGGAGCCTGGGAAAACTCCAGCCAGGGTTTCGGCGTGTGACACCTCTCAGTCCAGAGGACACAAAAAGAAGGGGTAAAGATTTGTAGAGACCCGACATCAACCCTTCATCCACTCAAGCTGGATTTAAATAAAAAATAGCAGCGACGTGCCCAGATTGGGGCAGCAGCCAGCTCTGAAGTGCAGAAACTTCCTTTCTAGGCAAGTTATTTCAAAAACTGCCTACAACAGACTTTTCTGCACGCACTGCTAAAGCATCTGGTCTTGGCAGGGAGAAGACGTGGGAGGAGGAAAGCTGGGAAGCCCTGGTGGAGGGGTTCCCCTCTTTTCTCTGCCTCATGCAACTGTGGCTGTCAGAGATGTCAGCGGAGCCACCCCAAGAGCAGAGGGTGGGAAAACACTCCCTCCTTCCCATGTAATTTGCTGGCAAGACTTGACTGTTGATTTGCTGCTAATCCAGGCCAGCCTAAGCCCTCGCTTTGCATTCCAAGAAACCCCCTCTCCAGCAAGTGAAGGTTAGTGTGGGAGGAGATCTAAGTCCAGCTGCTCTCTATATTCCTCGAGATGCAGTGATGGGTACATCGCACAGATCTTGTACCAAGAACTGCCCTACAGGGGACCATCACGCTCCTGCTCACGCTCTCTAGGGTAAGAAGAGCAGCGAGAGAATCCCCCAGGGGTATATGGTTCCGCTCCCCTTCCTAGCACACAAGAAACCTGCAGGCACCTTCTTCCTTCAAGACATCTAACCCCAGGGATAAAATATATCCCCCAGACCAGGATGTGACAGTAGGAATTTGCTGTGTTCTCCTCCCACCACCCACTCTCAGGCCAGATTCTTCTCCAGCAGTGGGTTTGCTGGTCTTTGCTGCTGCAAGAGGAATTTTGGTTTGTGTTTGTGGGGATGGGGAGATGGAGGAAGAGGAAGCCCCGTGCTGGGTTTTGGGCATCTGGGTGCCATTCCCAGGCTGCTGACCTGGTGGCAAAGTGCCCCCACTTCACTGCCGGGTGAGAAGAGCCAACGCAGAGAACGGAAAAGCCTTTCTGAGCCAAGTTTAATAACTCACAGCCAAGCCTTGCAGACTGTGGGCTGACCCTGCCTGCACCTGGGCAGGGCAAACACCACTGCTGTTTCTTCCTCCGCCTCCTCCTCTGAGCAATCCAGGGCTTGCAGACCTTTCTACTCCGGTCAGAGTGCTTCCAGCCCGAACGCCAACACAGAGGGAAGATGGAAGCAGAGGGAGGATGAAAGCTTTTGCACCGATGGGGAATACCAATTTGGCCAAAGTGTGGGTGCAGAAGGCTCAGGCTGTGTGGGCCCCTAGCCCCCCGCCGCGGGTGGCAGGCAGCGATGCCGGCATATCCAGCCTGTTTCCCTATGGAAACGATGCCCATTCCCTCCGGCTCCCTTGTGTGTGCGTGGGAGAGTCCCTTCCCCCAGCAGCACTTGAACCCATTGCCCAATCTCGCCACGTTTCCCGGAGGCGCAGGCATCGCCGGTATTTGCTCCCTCCACGAAAAGAGGGAGGCGAGAAAGCTGTCACCGGCACTCCCACGGTCCCGGGGAAATATTGCCCAACCCTTTACCAGCCACCCGAGAAGCCCCAGCAGGAAGCGAACCCCAGGAAAGCCCCCAGCGATGCTTGTGCCTGGTCATCCAGGGGGTGACCCCCGGCGGGGACACACACACGGGACGACCCGCCACCATGTC